CATCTCTCCGTTTTCATAGAATTATATTTAAATATTTAGAACAAGATCGGATTTGATTGTCTTTTTTGTGTAACTGTTTTTATAAGTAATCAGTTTAAATTTTACTCATTCGACTCTTTAAATGTTAAACTTTATATAATTTTTAACAATATAATCAAAATCAGTATCTTTACAACACATTGGAAAAAAAAATGATTTATTACATAAAACTTATGATAAGATTAAATTAAAAGCAATTAATAAAAAAGTCATTAAACTTTTATCATTTTTATGGTTTAATAATAATTAAATGTCATAGTAAAAATCACTCATGTTTCAAAAAACAATATCTGTATGACTGTATGACTACTGTATCTTCTTAAAATGCCCACAATACAAATAATTGGGTTTAATATAATATCCAGTGTCAGAAATTTAATTATAAACTAAATCACTACACTTTGACCAAAAACACAAAACAAGCTAGACTTACTATTTTATGTTGATTCTAAATATACCCATATAGTCAATTTCTATACCATCTACCTATATAAATATAATATTTTATTTATACAATGTGAGTGATGATGCAACATGAGATGTAATTATATATAAAAATCTACAACAACCATAAAAAGAAGTATGAATAATAGGACACCTGCCAAAATGGTTCCTATAGAAAAAAGAAAACGTTAAATATAACTACAATATAACAACTTTCTTTTAATATATATTGCCCTAGATTAAATAAACCTAACATGTGAAAATAGGTATATAGTACTAAATTAAACCTCAAACGTATATGTACAAATTTATAATAGAGTTATAAATATGATAAATAAATATACATATACTAATACAACCTTACATGTTACGAAAAGTGGGCCAAAATTTGGGGGTGTGGGCCCAAAATATCCGTGAAAAATTTGTCGCGTAAGTTGAGAACAAAAGGTTTATTATTTTAAAGGGAAGGTTCAGTTTGACACGTTAAAGACGCGGCCCATGTCGTGTTGTAGTAGTGGTTGGCCGGTTGGAGGTGTGGGTCCCATGCGACAGTTAAGTAAGTTATTACGCGTGACCTCTACCTGACCATGACCCCACCCTATCCTATCTTAACTGCTTCTACCTTACAAACTTAATCATATAAAATGTTTTTATTATTTGTAGTGTATTGGTTGTATTTTATAATGAGTAGTGTTCAAAAAAAAAAAAATAGGTTTTTATTATATGGTTTTTAAAATTAATCTAATTTATCAACTTAAGATAGCTTTTTCATTTATTAATATTAATTTTATTTTTAGTTTTTAATTATTTAATATTTATATTATTATTAGTTTATTTTTTTTATATAAATTATATAATATTTTTTTTATTTATTTTGTTGTTGATTGTACAAGAAAATATTCTTTATACTTTTTTCGAGTTTATTTTAAACTTTGTATAACATTTCAAAATTTTTTAGATATTTTTCTTCATGTTTAAGATATTTTTTTTCACTATCATTTACAAAACAAATAAAGCGTAAAAAAGTTAAAGTATTTCTAAGTCGTAAAATAGTTTTACAAAAAAAAAGTCAAAGTAGTAAACAATAGTTATGGATTTAGAGTATGTGGGTTTTTAAAGCCGGTTTCTAATAAACGAACAAAATATTTACAAAATGAACAAAATGTCAAAAAGTTAAAAATATTCCTAAATTGTTAAAAAAAACTATACCAAAAAATATTACTAAGTTATAAAAAAGTTACGGATTTGCATGATTCTATGATTCGTTTTTTTAAATGCCGGTTTCGGATAAACGAAAAAATGTTAAAAAGTTATGACGAACAAATGTCAATGAAAAATAAATAAAAATAATATTAAATATACATTTGAATAGAACCCAAAAAAATAAAAGATTTTTGAATCGGAAAAATAAAGATAAATAAATAAATATACAAATAATATGATTTAAAATAATATAAGATAATTGATTTAAAATATTAAAATAATTTTAATATAAAATCTATGATAAATTTGTTAAAAAAAAGATAAGATAATATATATTAGTGATTAAATAGGTGATGGAGTGAAGTGATAGATGGAGTTTTGCTTCTTTTTTTTTTATTTGAAGGGCTTTTTTTTAATATACCCTCTTATAATTTATATTTTTATTAGATAAAATATATTATTTTTTTAATTAAATTTAAATTATTATTATTAATTAGTTTATTTATTTGCTACACCTGGAATTATTCACGACATTTTCCTAAAAACAAAGGCTTAGAGCATGTGCATCGCGTCTTTCACTTTAATTTGCAATGTCATCTTTCAATTTTCCGCGAGCGACGTTGACATGGTCTTTCAATATATGAAAGACTTGCAAAGAGAATTAGTAATGATTGCTTATTGTATTATATTTAATATCACATATATTTACTTAAATTTTTATTAACGTATTCATTTGTATAACTATTAAAAATGATTAATAGCTAAAAATGGAAATTATAATTAATATGATAAACGTGCATAGTAACTTCAAAAGAAATTGCCTATAACAAATATCATTATATTAAAATATAAAATGATAACCTAATATTTTATATTATAATAGTGTTTTTCATTTTAATATTTATTTATTTAAATTATCTACTATTAATATTATTGAGTATATATATATATATATATATATATATATATATATATATATATATATATATATATAATATATAGGGAAGGGTTATTTGGAAAACAAAAAAACCCTAAAAATTATAAAAATGCATAAAAAAATACGACACATCACAAAACTTTTTTTTGAAGTTTTTTTTTATCAAAAATCGCAGCATTTTTTACAATTTTGCTGAAAAAAAAATAAAAAATCAATTATTTTATTTTTACTTTTTGTAAAAAAAAAAAATTTCAAAATTTTTTCAGCGATTTTGACCTAAAAGTTGCGATTTTTTGATAAAAAAGGTTTGTGATCTCGAAGTATTTTTTTATGCATTTTAATGATTTTTAGGGTTTTTGTTTTCCATAGAACCTAAACGATATATATATATATATATATATTATATATATATATATATATATTATATTTATATATTATATATATATATATATATATAATGAATGATCATTTGAGAACTCAAAGTTTCCTCGAGAATTAAAAATGGAGCGTTGGATCAAAAGTAATTCATTAAGGACATGATCGTCATCTTACCAATCTCATTTAATGTTTAATTTTTTTTGTGTTATTTAATATATTAATATAAATGTCTAAAAATTTACATCATAAATCAAATTTTTTGATTTTTTTAAATATAGTAATTTTCGTTTTTTTTAAATGCAGATTTTTAAATTTTTTATAGATAACATGAATTTTTGGAAAAAAAAATCAAAAAAATTATTTTTTTTAAAAACTGCAATTTTTAAAAAAAGACTGCATTTTTTTTTTCAAAAAAACTGCAATTTTTCTTAAAAAAACTGCATTTTTAAATAAGAAAACAACAATTTTTTCAAACAAACTTCAAGTTATTTAAAGAAAGTTACATTTTTTTTTTCAAATGCATATATTCGTAAGTAAATCATAAAAAATCTCATTTTTATTAATTAATCTATAAACATAATAGTACAAGTATTTTATTCGATACAAAATAAAATATAAAATATAAAAAATGCTACAAATTTCAAAGCGTTTTCATGTCGTCGTGTCAATATTTCTTTATTTTCTTCAATTTATCATTTTCATCTCTTCAATATTCACCACAGTTTCTTCCAAATCTACAAGAAAATTAAAAAAAAATGATTGATGCAAAAACACTCACAAAAATACATATGTGATTTTCATGTGATTAACATATGAATCACATGCGATTCACATATGAATCACATTTACATATGACATCATATGTAAATCACATGTGAGTTACATGTGAATCACGTGTAAATGTGATTTACATGTGAATCATATGTGATCAACTTGTGATTTACATGTGAATTATTGGTTATTTATATGTGAATTACATGTGAATCACGTGTAATTGTCATTTACATGTGAATCACATGTGATTTACATGTGAATCATGTGTAATTGTGATTTAAGTGTGAATCACATGTGAATTACATGTGAATCACGTGTAGTTGTGATTTACATGTGAATTGCATCTTATTCATATGTGAATTACATGTGATTTTCATGTGAATTACATGTGAATCACATGTGATTCTATCAAAAAATTTCAAATGACTCTCTTACCAACAAGGAGTGAGCTTGGAAACTTAAAACCACAAATGTATCCACTAGATCCCAAAAAAGAGATGCCCATCTTTAGATCTACCAACCACATGAGCATCACTATTGGTATGAAAACAATCTATTTTGAATGTATGGTGAGAACGTAAGTTTAAAACATTGAGAATTACCCTTGTTACACAACCATTCTGTCCATGAAGGAGTTTTGCATAAAGGAGAAACAAGGATGAGTCCAAGTACACGTCGTGTTATATTTTATCTGTACAAAATATGTAAAAAGACTAATTAAACCTTGCAAATTAAGAATTTAAATAAAATTTGGAAATATATATAAAACAAAAAGGATTTGCCTTACAACAAACAAGGTGAGTACATAAGCACCAATTGTTACTCCCATGCACATAACAACACCACGTCTGCAAAAATTAATTCAAAATTTCATTTGAAACCTAGCATGTCATGGGCTAAGTATATTCATTTTCTAACATTACTTAAATGGGAATGTTATGGATTACATCAACAACATTAAGGATTAATTATTGAAAGTGTGATATGTTTGCTGGGAAATTTGTACTTACAATCCAAAGCAAGCTGTGAGTGTCCTCTGATGTTTGTATTCTTCTGTTTGAGATTCCAGTAACCACCTCAAGCAAAAGCACACCAAAGCTGTACACATCCACCTTTTCTGTTAATTTACCATTCAGTATGTACTCTGGAGCCATATATCCACTGCAAACAGTTTCAAATTTCAATGAAAGTTGAAAATCAGAGTTCATCAGATTGGGAAGAAGAAGAAAAACAAAAATAAAACGTCTGAAGGAAGTGCTTACAGTGTTCCTGTAATCCCAGTGCTGATATGATTTTTATCTTCTTGAAAGGACTGGCTAATCCAAAATCAGAAATCTTAGCTTTTTCTTCGACCAACAATATCATTGATAATATATAAGATCATCTTAGCTTTTTCTTCCAAAATCAGCATCACGTTTCTCATACTTGTAACAAAGTTTCTCTTCAATTGACACAACTTGTGCAGCATAAGGAGATATAACACCAATGCTAAGCTTTTTCTTGGACTGCTGCCATTCTATAAACATGAAATTAAGATGTGTTCAAGAAATCATTGAACATGTAGTTACAAATCTTCAAATAAAAGGATTAGATAAATAGTATACCTTCATAAAGTTTATGCACTATCTTAACCACAATAGACACCTCAACCTGTTTCTTTTGCTCCCGACATCATCGCCTTCTCTTCCACCAACAATGTTTATGAATGAATACGAACCAAACATCGGTCCTGAAAGATATTGCCTTCGATAGCTTTTACATGTCAACACAAAATTTATCTAACAAAAATGTGAATTCAAATTGTTAATAAACCGAATTTTGCCCTAATTTCCTCAAATCAATCACAAAATTTTGACGAGAAAAAGTAAAACGAAAATGAAATCGAAATCAGGCGATGATGATTACATACGTAAAACTCGACGATGATTCTTGCGGTGTACTTCGTTGGCGATTGTCGAGGAAATCTGAACCTGACCTACCGGATTGACGATTGAGGAAGGCGGTGGTGGATTGCAACCTAGTGGTGATTGTCGAGGAAATCGACGGTGAAGATGCAGCTCGCCGACGTCGGCTATGGGGGAAAAGGAATCATCGGCATCAGAATCGAAGAAGGCCAGGATGGCTTGGGTAAGATCGCAGGCGACGTCGGGATATTTTGTATTCTGTTTTAGAAAATCCGATTTAACATATAATGTAATATTCCAATAATACCCATTATCTCATTTATTTAACATGCCCCCGCCTCTTTAGTTTTCCAATTATTTACAACAACGCCACCTTGCATCTCGACCATCCTTTTTTTTGATCCAACGCTCCACATTTAGTTATCGGGTTCTCGAGAAAATATAAGTTCTCAACCGATCTCACCCCTATATATATATATATATATATATATATATATATATATATATATATATATATATATATATATATATATAAAGTAATAGCTGATGTGGCAGCGGGGACCATTTTTGAAAGATGAGTGTTATTGCACTGATGTGAGTAGTCATTGCAAAGCTGATGTGTTACAATTGAAAGATTAGTGGCATTGCACTAATGTGGATGACCTTACTTGCCACTGACCACGGGCATGAATTTAAGAACCTGACTATATCTATTTATTCCTCCCTTAGTGAATAATGTCATAAACTAAAAGTCATTGCTAATCAAGTCACTAATGTTGACCATCCGGTAAGCGGACACATATTTTGCACTTCAAATTGCCTGAAGGCTTTCCACCAAATACGATATCATCACTTCTTTTATTAAACAAAGTTCACTGTCTTGGGACACGACAAGAAGCATGTTGCAACTTGATCATTACCCAATTGTTCGCTTGACAATCTCATATTAGTCAAAACTAATCTCAATGTTGCAACAGTCGACCTCCCCCTAATGCAACACCAGTTCTAGGTATTTTTCATTTTCAACCCAAAACTTTAAATTCCTTGCAAAACAGACCCTTACACTGGGCGTACGTGGAGTGTACGCCGAGCGTAAGCCTTTTTAATGGATCATGCGATTATGGCGAGTACGCTGAGCATATATGTGGGTACACCGGGCCTACTCGAGCTTGTCCTAAAACCCTAAATTCGGGGTATGACCCCTATTTAAGGTTATTAAATCCCATTAGACCTCCTTACAACCAACATCCACTCCTCTCAGCCCCTATCTCGAAACCCTAATTCTTGTGTGTGAGTTTTGAAGCTCTTAAGTGATATTTTAGTGATTCTTGGTGGCGAAGGAAGATCTTTGGAGAAGTTGTGTTGCCCTCAAGCTTTTGGATCTAGAATTTACACATCTTTGTGCATCTTCAATAGGTATAAAGTTCAAATCTTGATTCTTCCCATGCTCGATCTTGTTAGGTTGGAAGTTATGACCTTTTGTCCCAAAAACCTTGGTCCTATGAGTATAGTCTACTCCAGACCATTTGAGGTGTCCTTTTAGGCATTTGGGGGTGTTTGGTTACATAAAAATGTAAGCTTGGTCCTTTGTTTTCTTCCATGCAAGAGTGATGGGTTGTTAAATGGGCATATGAGTTAGGTTTTGATTTTGAGCTCCTTGTAGCCATGCAAAGTCTTAAAGGTTGAAACGTTATGATTTTAGACATTTACTAGGGTTAGATCTGATGTTTGGACATTAAGTATTAAGGTATTAAGACTTTAATAGAGGATTTGGACGCCTAAAGGGTATGATGGGCGTAACCCTGAATACGTCGGGCGTACTGGGTTGCAACCACGTAAGCCCTCCAAGTCGAAGTTATATGTTGGACGTACTCCCAGAAAATCCACTTGAGCCATTTTGGGCCTTGGGTAGTTAGGGGTTTTGGACCATGCATGGGAAGGGAAAAATGGTATTTTTTCCCTTGGTAAGATTAAGGGGCTGTTTGATTTCCTGCTGACCCGGTCCGGTCAGACATTTTTACTGACCCGGTCCGGTCAGTATGTTTGATAGCCTCTATTTTGTAGCTTAATCGGTCCGCAGTCGGCCCATATTGCTCTGATTCGGTCCGCTAAAAAAAAGACTGATTGAAAAATAGACGCCTTTTGCCCTTGCCCATGGCTCTCCATCTCCTTCGCTCCAAGCATCTTTTCCTTCAACGGACATCACTCGTCCTCTCGCTTCTGTCTATCATCTTCAGCCTCGCTGGAAACCTCCTCCACCGCCATCCTCTTCACCTCCGGCTACCTCCTTCATTGTCGAACTCCCATCCCCCTGAAAGCATCGTCGTACCTACTTACATCCCCATCGTTCTTTCATCGTCTTCCTCTTCCATTGCCAATAAGGTATTTCCTTTTTCTTTTTCATTTTTTTTTGTTTTCATGCTCGAAGATGTTTATCAATTTGTACCGATTGGGCTATGGAACACGATTTGGCATTATGGGTATGTTGATTTGGAACGAAGATGAGGTTAATCCATCTCAACTGGGTCGATTTCTTTTAAATTGCAATCCATTACTTGTTGATTGCTTCTGATTCTATCAATTTCAACTCTGATTGCTATATTTTATTTTTCACAAAAAATCGATTTCTTTTCATATAAAAATGATTATTTTTGGTCCAGAAATAGGTAGTTGATGTAATGAAATCAGAAGCTCAATAATTTACTATGGGTTCTTGAACTCTAGCATCTGATTCGCTTAAGCTTTGTGCTTGAATTACTCTGGAGGTTCTTTATAGATAGGCCGAGATAGAGTTTTTTTTTTTTTTTTTTTTTTTTTTTTTTTTTTTTTTGTAAAGCTAAGGGTAGAAAAGGCATATAGTAATGGATAAAATTCAAGTAACTAATGAATTCAAAAGTGATCCTTGAGATGTGTTGTGATTATTTTAGATCAAAATCTGCAAATATGTATTGGTATTCTGCTACTTTAAACTTGGAATTATACTAATGATGCCTATACTAGATCTGTAGATCACTTATGTATTTGATTTCTTGATTATGGTTTTGTATTTGGATTGTTTCTTTACCCTATTATAAGGTTTATTATCTTGTTATCCTAAATAGACACCAAAGGTTTGTTTATCTTGTTATCCTAAACAAATTTTTAGAGAAGAACAATAATAAACAGGTGGGTTACTGATCAATGTTTACCATCAATTGAAGAACTTATGTCATATTGTTTGTGTGATTTCAGGATTTTACTGGTGTGCATGTTGTTAGAAATTTGGATACATCACAGAACTAGCTATTTGAATTGCATAATTAGGTGGCTTACAAGTGTGACAACCCCTTTCCCTGAATTCACGTTTTTTCTTTTGTAGTTTTATGATTTGTTTTTATAAATTTTAACCTGGATCATTGTATTTCATATTTTATTCATGTGATTGTTGTAACAATCTTGATAAATAGCAACCACCTATGATAATGGTTCAAACCAAGTACATATGAATACAAACACAAGTTCTTTTTTATAGTTTTCAATCGGTAAGAAGAAGATGAAGACAATCAAGAGATATGTTGATTTTTTTTCTTTTTATCTTCATGTTTTTTAGAGTATTACATAAATGAAGTTAATTAATAATATATTGTGGTTTGAGATTATTGCATAAATGTATTATTATAAAAAAATGTTGTAGAGGGTAATATAGTCGTTTTGCTCGGTCAGTCAGATGCAAAATCAAACAACAAGATTCAGTCAGAAGTTAACTCGGTCAGAACTTCTAACCCAGACAGTTTCTAATCTAGTCAGCGCTAACCCAGTCAGCAACTATCAAACGACCCCTAAATAGGTTTTGGACCATTGATTATGGATTAAGACCCTAATTATTAATTAGGGTTGTTTTTAGGTTTTAACTAGTGTGGGGATCCGTGTTAGTAGCAACTCGAGTGTGTGATTCAGTCATCTTTAGTTAGAGCTGACTAGGTGAGTCTTATCACTATGCTTGTGGGTCGAAGGCACCAATGTCGACCCACCAAATTGTTTATGTTGAATGTTAACCGTTATATGACTCTTACATGTCTATATGATTGGGTTGAAATAGACCTTAAGACTGGGCCCATTGTTATATGATTAGGTTGAAATAAACCCCAGGGCTAGGCCATTATTATAGGATTGGGTTGAAATAAATCCTAGGGCTGGGTCCATAAGTATATGATGGGTCGGAAGAAGCCCCTGGGCTAGGCCCATATTTGTGTATTGGGTTGGAATATACCCCAGGGATAGGCCCAGTTGTATGTTTGGTATGTGGTACTTGGGGGAAATAACTAAGCCTTGTGCTTACAGTTTATGTTTATGGTTTCAAGTACTTCCGGTATGAAAGGGAAGGGATCGGAGTGATGGCACAACATCATCCCCTCATGATTTTTGCACTTTTTGGATATTTGTACTATGATGTTTTGATATTGTATTTTATGATCAAGTTGGAGATATATGGTGAATGAAACTATTGGTTTTAAAAATGAGAAGTTTTATCACTGTTTTTTGGGTTGTTACAAGTTGGTATCATAGCCATGGTTTGAGGGATTCGAGCACACTTTCGGGTGTGCCATAACTCAAACTGAGGAAATGATAATCTTTTAAAAAATATGAATTTCTAAAAAAGATTTTACAAAGTAAAAAGGGGGGTGCGATGCGTGCAATCAACCGACCTCAAGTAAGCGGTTCCCAAGATACATATACCTATGTATTATGATTAGTATGCTTGATATGTGAATTACATGCTAGATTAGGGCTAAGGATACCTTCTGGAATCATATGATAGAATTGTCTGATTTATGTGATGCCTTATAGCCTAGGAGGATTGGATGGTATTGAAGGGTTTTGAGCATTCTAACACTCCTATGGTGTACATGCAACCCTAGATGCTTTGGATCTATGTTTTCTATAATATACATGCAAACTTTTAATTTTCCAAAGCATCATCCTAACTAGCATACAATGGAGTATCTTTACTACAAATTATAGTTAGATGACATACCTTTTGTTGTAGTTGGAATCCTTGGACCTTTAAGAACTTAGTGCCCCAAGTGTTGCACCTCAAATGGAATCACACAACACCACCAACAATGGAGGAACTTGAGAGAAGGTTACTTGCACTCATAAAATCGGCTTGCCCTCTTGTAAGCTTACTTAAGTGCCGATTTCATGAGCTAGGGGGGTTCTTATATAGTGTGGCTTAATTAGGGTTACACCATGCAAACCCTAATGTGCATGACCTTCCATATTCCTCATGCTCCATGGGTTTAAACCTCCATGGATCATCCATGGGTCACCTCATGGGTTTAGCCCAACATAAAGAACTATGGATCATAAGCCCACATTACAGGAATGAATGATTTACATAATCAATCCCCATATATTTAATTAGTCTCTTTTGATCACAAAATTAATTCCAAATTAATTCTTGATCAATACTAATTAAATAATATGATTTCATATTAATATATTAGAACTTATAATATATTAATAAACCATAAATAACATCTTCTCAATTATCCATCCTTCAGATTGTTCCGGTGTCATGCAACCCAAATGGACCATGCTACTCTCGGGTCAAGTACATACCAATAATAGTTATGGGCTTAGACACCTTGGAGTATTACTCTTAGACTTGTTTTGGGAACGAAGTATGGCTCATCTTCTTGATTTAAA